GATTGAGCCAGAGTCATGAGCAGCTTATGGGCTCGGAACAGCAATCAAATTCAAAAGAGGGAAAGTTATGGAATGAACTTTACTCTGAAGTTGCACAACTGGTCTTTAAAACAACTAAAAATATTAAATATAGGGAAGACATCCTACTGTCAAAATATTCTGTCCATTAATCCTACACTATTACTTAGTATATACCGCAAACCAAACGGCGGACCTCATGTAACCAATTGGACACCTTGTAACAAATATTATATTAACTAGACAGGGATATCTTTGAATCCTTGACCTTGGGCTCGAGCAGAAGCTGTAGTGTTCTCGCCGTATAGAGTTGGTAAGGGAGTTCCAGTTCGTGCGCTACTTAGATGCGTATAAAGCTACCAGTATAAGGATCAAATCATACATGGGTAATACTAGACGATATAGTATATATATGTATATGTTATTGTTTGGTATATAATTAATATGTATCCAAAAAACTGTTTAATTTTAATTCTTATGAAAAAGTTGCGGAAAAAAGTAAAAAATCTGTTATTCGGGGGTCGGGGGTGTAGGATTCGAAGGCGGAGGTGCGAGCGGTGGCGGCTAGCATGCTGGTGACTTTACCTTGTGATGTAGCACCTTGATGAGGCTGAATTGTTATCGCTCTCGTCTCTTTTTTTTGTTTGGATCAGTACAATGTCGGGGGCTGTATTCCTGTATAGTTTTTTTATGGCCGGTTCTGTATACTGTATATACTATACCCAATATGTGATTATCTTAAGTCTCAACGCTTTTAATTTATCAAATTCATTCTATCTTCTTCGGTACAGAAATTATTTATTGTAGCCTTATAGTTACTACTCAACTGAATTACTGTTGCCTGGTTGTGTACACTGTATATATACTGCACCCCTTACTCTGACTTACCTTGTGATGTAACACCTGGATGAGCAGAATTGTTTATCGTTCTCCTCCTTTTGTTGTGGTTTGACACGTATCAATTCCGGTTGATATTCGATGATAGTTATTTATTTTGTATTACATGGTTACTCTGCGACTCTTTATTATACTAAAGAATCTCCTGATATACGCTTAAACGACTATTCGCGTGAGTATTCAGGGAATAACCATGCAGTTTCATTCTTGCGGAATGTACTTACTTAAATATTATATACGGCTGCGTATAAATGTTTCTTTTGAATTAGTATAATATTTTTGTTATTTTTTAAATGCCTGTTCTGTATATACTTGTATCCCAAGATGTATTATCCTAATCTCAAACTTAAGTAATATATTCATGATATATTCTTATGTAGGAATTATTTTATGGTACGGTTACATTACTGTAACTGATTACTGTTCTTTGTTTGTTATCACTGGTAGTATTACGCTGGCACCATTATACTTCTATTTGCAAATTGTATCTAACTTTTCTATTTGCAAATACCAGCGGAATATCTAGTGCGTCAATATCTATGTCTACGTACATGATATAAGGGATAGCGACTCGATGAAGCTTATGGTCCTTTCGCTACGCCTTCAGGCCCTCACATTAATGTTTTTTTCTGTATCAATTGTATGCTTTTGCTAATTGTGGTGATAAATCAAATTTTTTTGATTGAATTGAAGTTGAATGAATTGAAAACAGTTTTTAGGTTTGCTTAGTATTATGTTTATATTTTTATATGAGCGTATGTTGGTTTAGGCCTTGCAGGGCTGCAAATAGTCCGAGATTCCTTGCCGAATGCCCAACAAGTGCCGCCGCGAGTTTTTGGTGCGTTTTTGGTGTGGGTTAGGGTTGTGTTGTGGCTAACCCACACCAAAGCCACCCAAATCGTGGTGTGGGCATTGGTCAGAGAATCTCAGCCTAGGCTGGCCACTCTTCACGCTTTTGACCAAATCTCACGCTCTCACTTGGGCTGATGCTTTACATATTCACGCGCACAAGCAAGAAACATGCTGAGGATATTTCACGCTGAATATGCTGAAAACAGTCACTTTGGGTATGCACCAAATTGCACAGAATTGAAGGTATAAAATGCAAAAAGCTCCCTACCGTGCGGAGGGAAAAATCCCCGCTTCCCGACGCCACCCTGCCGCCTCGTCGCTTCGCTCCTCACATCTCGAATCTCCACCTAATCACACAATGTTGGAGCCGTCGCTGCTTCTGTAGTACAAGTCTGGTAGTACTTTGTGTATCCATAGTATATATGTACTCGGGTATAGTCCGCCAGATGCAGACGTATAATAACTCCCGCTTTGCTAATCTGAGGGTGCGGTTTATCCCCATAGGTTTTATCGCATATATGCCATTACTAGTTGACGGGTATCGGGGTACGGGGTACTATCGGTATAATTACTAACGGTGTTTTAGCAAAACCCACAATTCATAAGGGCAGGCTTGGTTTCCTTACTGGTTAGGGCAGTCATATACATTTATAGCCTGATTTTATACATTATAACCTAGATATCGCTTGCTTGGAAGACAGGCTATCTAGAAGAGGTGAATAAGCTCCTGTGAGTGACGGTTTTTTTTTGGGGGGGGGGACATTTTACTAGGAACATTTTACCATTGTGTCAGGCTTATGGTACATTACATCAGGGGTTAATTTAATGAAAATGTCCATGCTTTGTCATTATTAACCCCTGATTAGTGATTACATAGAGCTAGAAGATCTAGACCAGGAGACTGTAGCAGAACTGTAACAATTAACCCATATGATGAAATCATGAAAGGCATTTTAACTGAGTCTAAGTCGGTGACATCTCATCTGTCTTGGCTCGAAGTCATATTTAATCAAATGTGTTTTTTTTGTTAAACCTACAGGTATAATGTGTTTTTATGTCGTTCTCAACCTATCTGAGACCAGTTACCACTGACCTGTAATCTAGCACCTGGCTGAAATTTGAAATTCTGTGTCAAACAAATATATCCCAGTACAACCAAATTTAGGAAAAATGAGCATTGTAGGTACTACAAATTATAGTTGAAAAAACCCAATAATTTCAACAATCAGATTTTGCTACTGTTTACAGTTGTTAATGAAGAAATTATAAACCTTACTACATAGTCAAATTACAATGTTATATAATCTTTTTTTTGATAGTTATGCTTATTAAAAAAAACTCCTGAAAACTGGAGGTTCACTCTGAATTCACCTTTAAAAAAACCATCGAAATTTTCAATGGAAAATTATAATATAGAACAGGAATTCACCAAAATTGTAATTCATTGTGCGCTGATGTCATGTAATCAGGAGTAAGATAATATAGGAAAATATATCCTATATTATCTTACTCCTGATGTAATGTTTGCTACCACCAAGCTGTGTGGTAGCAATAGCATTCACGCAAAAAAATGGGTACGGATCCATCATCTCCTATTTTACAGTTACTCGTATCTGAACAACCGATACACTATTGCTAATATGTGTAAACAGGTACAAGCATACGATCTCAGAATGGTTTTCTTTTATTCGATTTTGTTTCGTGGTGGGGTTTTAGTGGGAATAAAAACATAATCATATGTATATTTTACTTTTTCTATAGGCTATTACTTCTTGGACAAGGTGAATGCAACTTGTATTGATGGGCAAATAAAGATGACATCCGAAAAGGTTCATAAGAGTAAAAAACACAAGAAAGAAAAAACAGACAAGGTAGCACGAACAACTTTAAACCTAGACAATGTAGATTGTAACACTGATGAAGTTGTCCCTAGTGCAACTCCTAAAATCAAGAAAAGAAAGGTGAAGGTAAAACTTAAAGGTAACGAGTGTATTGAGGAATGCTCCACTACCAGTGCCTCATTGAATAAACATTCAGAGAAGAGAAAGAAAAAAATTGTCAAAAGAAGAGAATCTGATGAAGAGATTGCAAGTGGCAAGATTGCAATTGTTGAAGCCTTTGAAAATGCCAGGGAACCAACATCTAAAAAGCACAAGAAAAAGAGGAATAAAAGCAGTAGGGCTGCAGATGATGTTAATGAAGCTAGCGGTCTAGTCTCTGAACCCGTGTTGGATGAAAATAGCCAGGCTAGTAAAAAATGCAAGAAAAAAAAGCACAGCAGAGGTCTGATGGCAAACTGCTCTGCTGAAAATCTAAATATCAGTGGAAAAGGAGATGCAACATCACCAAAAAAAGACGAGGATCGCAATGTTGACAGTACTTGTGTTACTGCCTCGACTAATGATGTCCATAGTTTGACAGTCGTGCCAGAAAACAACACAAAGAAACATAAGAAGAGAAAACATGCAGAAAGGGAAGTCATTTCCTCCAACTCTGTGCCAAAATGTGGTGAGCTCGTTGAATCACCAAAGAAGAAAAAGAAGCATAAAAAACAGCACCATGAAGAGGATGAAGTTGAGGCACGTGACGATTCTGGCTTGACAACATGTAGTAAAGGCAGCCCTGTGTCGAATACAGTGAAAATTAAATGTGCAAAGGAGGAAGCTGAAGTACCGCCTCCCTTAACGACGACCAACCAGTGGAGTACAACTGGATTGTTGGGTGGAGGGGATCGGCAGAATAAGTTTCTAAGCCTTATGGGGGCATTCAAGAGCCCCAACGCAGGCCCCAAGAATGTTTTCGCTGCAGGGCTTCGAAGTACATCTTCAGCAATGAGCAAAGATAAGGAAGAGGCATTTGCAAATGCCATGTCCACTCACTTTGAAAAAACCATGGGAATGCAGCAAGACGTTCGTAAAGGGTTCGGCCTGGGCTATCAGGAGCCCGAAGGAAGTAATACGAAATTTCATATAGATACGTCATGTGTTCGATCAAAAAAATTTAACTAGAAAAAACGTGTAGTTTAATGTGATCAGTATCATGCTATTGTGTTGAGAGTTAAAAAATATATAGGTTTAGCTATATTCAGAAATGTTCAGTTTACTTTTATTTTGAAAGTAGTATAAGCTGTACAGATTACATTATTAAAATTTCATTTTTAGCTCACCTTGACATCGTCAAGCTGAGCTATTGCCATGGGTCGTCGTCCGTCGTACGTCCGTCCGACCGTTCGTCCGTCCGTCAACATTTTGCTTCGGTCAACGATAACTCAGGAACCGTTTGGCCCACATGTTTGAAATTGGGTATAGTTGTTACTGCTATGCTCCCATATTAAACGTCCTATTTTCGCCAGTCGACGTACTTTCGAGCCACGGCAATTTTTTGGCCATTAGTCAGTCCAGGTTCAACGGATTTTGCTCATTTTTGGTATGTGAATGAATAAGGGCTAGGGGTTTT